AGTACTGCGCTTAAATTCCATAGAGAAGAGCGATATCTATTTCTGCTACGTACAAAAAAAAAAAAAAATAAAATAAAATAAAAACAGGCACAAGTCAAAAATGTCTGGGGAAAAGGACGGTGTTCTTCTGTCTTAATATTAAACTTAGCCAAAAACACTGACCAAAATATACCACAATATTCCTAACACCAAAATAACGCATTCTTATTTAACTTTCTTACAACATTCACCATAATACCTCATTGTCTCTATGAACATCCTAACTAGTCCCCTTATGTACAATTCATTGGCTTGTAGGGGGAGGGCAATAGAGCAACAATTCAAAAACTAGCTCTAATGAGTATTTACAATATGAAAACCATACTATTTACAAAGAAAGAAAAGCGATATATATTCTGCTATATAAGTAAATGTGGACCAAGGCCAAAATGGGGAATGGAGAAAAGGGTGGACTTCATCTATCTTAACGTTAAACTTAGCTAGCCACAAAGACTGACGCAAAACATACAACAATATTTCTAACACCAAAACAACGTATTCTTACTTACCTTTCTTACTGCATTCACCATAATACCTCAATGTCTCTATGAAAGTCCTAACTAGTCTCCATATGTACAAATCATTGGTTATGGGGGGGAGGCGAATAAAGCAACAATAGCATAGCGAAGAGCGATATTTAATTGCAATTATTTACAAAATGTGGCACAAGGCAAAAATGGGTAATGGGGAAAGAGAAGATATTCATCTGTCTTAATATTAAACTTAGCAAGCCACAAGCACTGACCAAAACATACCACAATATTCCTAACACCAAAACAACGCAATCTTACTTAACTTTCTTACTACATTCACCATAATACCTCCTTGTCTCTATAAAAATCCTAACTAGTATGTACAATTCATTTGTCGGTGGTGGGTTGGGGATAAAACAGCAATTTAAAAATAATAGCCCTAATGAATATTTACAATATGAAAAGAAAACTATTTACATAAAGGTAAACAAAATAATGTGATTAATACTGTCACAAATCTCTAAATGTCGCAGAAACATCAGTTAATCGGGCGAAATTAATGCGGGTCTTTTAATAATATAAAATTAATCATTCATCTCAAATATTCACTCAAATGCACACTAATTCAGGCACAACAGCGAATAGAAAAAAATCACAGTAGAAAGGCGCCCCGCATCTACCAGAGAATTGACATCACTGACCACCTAAAACAAGAGAGGCGTACGGGAATTAAAACAAAGAAAAATGAGGACAGAAATAAAAGGAACCAATGAGTATGACATATCGGAGAGCTCATCCGAACAATTACCATGAAAGTATTTACAGAAATAGCAAAGGGAGATAACCTTACGGCGGTGGGAAAGGAATTAAAGATGAAACCTGGGGTCAGGGTCAATAATATTTTGGTGATATTGAAAAATTGTCTAGGAGAACACAGTGAACCAAATTTCTTAGCAGCTGACCTAGCAATGGATTCAATATATTTTTCTGCTATTTGTCAGTCAAAAATGTCAGCACAAGATGGCGGAATGAGTTCATAACTGCTTTTCAAAATTAAAAAAAGAAAACGGTTTCACTTATTATCGTAAAGTTCCGCAGCCAATTTGATTCATTTGATTTTGTTCCTTTTCCTCACGGTTTCCATACAATTCATGCAAAGAACACCATTTTCATTTTTAATGGCGGAAAACAGCACAAAAGTCGATCAATTTAAAATAAAAGATGAACTGACAGAGCAATATCTCCATTCAACATTATGAGGACTATTTCCGTTTGAAATCACGTATGCTTTCAACAAGGAATCTATGAAATAATTACATAGTGGGTATTTTTTTATTGCTGAAAATGATTATAACGATTTGAACAAATAAACTCAAATTAACTCCATTTAAATGAATCTTTTCCCCGCCTCTACAACTGTAGCATTACAGGATTGCTATGAATTCATAAAAAGAAAGTAGCAAAAACATAAATCTGATCCCCCCATGAAGCATTCATAACCTGATGACCCTGGGCTTTAGGAGACCCCCAGATATAATGAATAATTACCTCAAACAAAGGGTTACGTCATATATGAGCAAGCATTTTTGTTTTTCAGACATAACAGTTGTCAAGCCTTCAAATAAAGTACCAATGTTATAAAATATCGATTGGGTCATGAGGTAACCTTAAACATATTGATTGATTCGGGATTTATGGCTTATCAGTGCTTTGAAGTTTATTTAAATCCAGATTTATTTTTTTTAGATTGTAAGGTTCTTCTTTGGAGCTTGTAGTGATATTGATTGATCGGTTTTTTACGGCTTATCAACCTCTTTCCGAATGCTCTGCACTGTCCTCAGATTGACACACAAACACAGTGAAATGTTCGTATTTGATTTTCCGGTGCGAATTCCAAGCAGTTCTGCATGCCTGAATAGCGTCATGGAGCTCTTTTTCTCACAGATGATACACAACTGATACTACTATACTTTTCAGTCGACAAAATCAAAAACGACCAAGGCGTATGCACTAAGTTAAAAATATAAACTGGCGAAAATTTACCCATCACACCCTGTATATTTTTCAGCGAAACTACTTCTGATTTTGAACTTTAGTTAAAAAATTAATTGCGAAAAAATTGAAAAAGAAAAAGGAAATACCTTTTAAATCCAGTCTTTGGAGTCAGGTGTCCAGATGTAAGGGATGATGTGATCTCAGAAATTGTCTGACAGCCATGTCTGGGTTCTCCTGCTTGCGTGGCACGAGGTAGAGTCCTGTTGTCAGACCTTTTCATCGTCCATCCCCCTGACCCAGGAAAGTAGTACCGCCTCAAGTATGAATGGAGGCATAATGTCTCTGTCACTACAAATCACACCAATCACCATGGAGAAACCAGACATGGCTGTCAGACAATTTCTGAGATCACATCATCCCTTACATCTGGAGACCTGACTCCAAAGACTGCAACCCCCTTGATTATTATGTCAGGGATTGCGGTTTTAAAAGGTATTTCCATTTTCTTTTTCACAGAAGTTCAAGATCAGAACACCTGAGGATTGGAAATTTTACCAAGAAACATCGATATCGGGATAAAATTGATATTTTAAAAGTTAAGTAATCTCTTCATATATATATATATATATATATATATATATATATATATATATATAGATAGATAGATAGATAGATAGATAGATAGACAGACAGAGAGTTTGGAGTACTTCTTAAGATTGACGCTACCACTATCTTTCAGCGTCCCGACGATCGCAGTAATGTGAGAACTTAAGTGACTGTCCAATAGTTGTCTCTTCTTGAGACGTGAGGCTAGGAAGCGTATTTCCTTGGTAACTTATAGGCCACTATATATTACTGTTTAGGTTGCTCCCTAGCATGATCTTAGTTTACATTTTTGACCGTTTTCTTATATATATATATATATATATATATATATATATATATATAAAATGAAAGAACAGTAAGATATATAATCCGGTGTTATTATAGATATTTTTATTTTTACAAAATAGTGCTCAATGTAAATTTACAGAGCATTAATATTATAAATTAATGGATTTAAAATATTTTTCGCTACACAGTTCTAACCATGTTTCAAAAATGGAAGCTAAAAGCCCCGAATTTAATTTTGTGATTAAATTAAAGACATTAGTTCCATTTCATCCTCAAGCGAATTTTTGGAGTAACTTTTAAAATTACTGGATTTTAAATACACAGCTAAAACAAAATTCATGTTTCCAAGGTTACAGGTAAATCTATTTTTCTAGACAGGGGTGTCTAGGTGTTCAATACGTCTATATTTTAATGTATCAGTTATTGATACGTTTTGGTAGTGGGTAGGGATGTATTTTTCAATGAAATCTAACATCCGTTAAAAGCGTGTCGTCTGGATTTAATGTCTTTAATTTAATCCCAAAATTAAATTCGGGGCTTTTAGCTTCCATTTTTGAAACATGGTTAGAACTGTGTAGCGAAAAAACATATTTTAAATCAATTATTTATTTATATATATATATATATATATATATATATATATATATATATATATATAAATATATATAAAATCCATAAGTGGAAAGGATAATCTGAGTAGGTCTTTTAAATATAAAATATTAAAACGATAGATCCATGAAGAAAGCTCAAAGCATTGTGTACAGAGCAATAGCATTTATATCAAAGAAAAAAAAAATTGACACATCATCGAAAAATCTGCTAATAAATTAAAAATAGATAACTTTTTAACATCTACCTCATCAAACTGAAATTACAAAATGGTTTAAATTTATCCAGACAGTATCTTAAAAATCATTTTAAAAACAAATCAAAAGATAACAGGATGTAAGTTTGAAATTACTTGACCTAGAAAAATTTTTCTGAGGATGTATATTATTGAAGGGAGGAGTGTGATGGGGAGAAAACGGAGAAGCAACGTGTCAGCACTTTGATCAGTGGTTGAATGGAGTAGTACAAGTATATATATATATATATATATATATATATATATATAGGCTGTATCAAAAATACTTTTACAAAAGTTTCAATATACATATGTCTGAAAAGCCTTCGTTTCTGAATTGTTAAGAAAGTTTTAGGTAGATGGAACTGTGTTGCCATGAATACTAAGTCACATTTGTCACTTGTGTACATTTGTGGCTAGTATGACTTCAACGTTAAAAGTTTATAGTAGTGAGGTAACTGAGAAGTATTCTATTTAACAATGTATGGATATTCATTTCGTGAGTCGGTAGGGTTGGTTTTTACATACGGCAGAGAAGGTAATCAAGACGAGGGATTTTTAAACTTTACAAGTCAAAAAACGAAGGATAAGCGGACATACTTGCGTGCATGTGTGTGTGTGGACATTTGATGTGAGTAATCCGTCCCCCAAGTTTGTAAAATTATTTTTGATACAAGATATATATATATATATATATATATATATATAGAGAGAGAGAGAGAGAGAGATAGAGAGAGAGAGGGGGAGAGAGAGAGTTAGATTGAGAGTGAGAGAGAGGTAGAGGGAGAGAGAGTGAGAGTGATAGAGAGAGAGGTAGAGAGAGAGTTAGAGTGAGAGTGAGAGAGGTAGAGAGAGAGAGTGAGAGAGAGGTAGAGAGAGAGGGAGGTAGAGAGTGAGAGAGAGAGGTAGAGAGAGAGAGAGAGAGAGAGAGAGGTAGAGAGAGAGGTAGAGAGAGAGAGTGAGAGAGAGAGGTAGAGAGAGAGAGTGAGAGTGAGAGAGAGATAGAGAGAGAGAGTGAGAGTGAGAGAGAGGTACAGAAAGAGAGAGTGAGAGAGAGAGGGTAGAGAGAGAGTTAGAGGAGGAGAGAGAGAGAGAAGTAGAGAGGGAGAGAGAGAGGATAGGAGGAGAGGTAGAGAGAGAGAGAAGTAGGGAGGAGAGAGAGAGGTGAGAGAGAGAGAGGTAGAGAGAGAGGGGAAGGAGAGAGAGAGAGAGAGAGGTAGAGAGAGGGTAGAGAGAGAGTGAGAGGAGAGAGAGAGAGAGAGAGGTAGAGAGAGAGGTAGAGGAGAGGGAGAGGAGAGAGAGAGAGGTTTAGAGAGAGAGAGGGAGGAGAGAGAGGAGAGAAGGAGAGAGTGAGAGAGAGAGGTAGAGAGAGAGTTAGAGTGAGAGTGAGAGTGAGAGTGAGAGAGAGAGTTAAGGGGTATAGCCTGTATGCGTGTATCTTCCTTGGCTCAAACAGGATGGGATTTTAAAATATCGAACTGTTTATTACTTCTGGGAAACATTTATGTTATTTTTGTCGACATATTTAATTTTTTATTTCTGGATTTATCTCTCGTATTTTCAGCATGAGGAGACACATTAAATGTCTGTGTTATTTTAGGATCGAATCGTGCGAATTCAAAGAGAAATTCCTCCTGTTCGGCAATAATCTCATTGACTTGAAAATTTAAGCTTTTCAATAGATAATGGAGGATGGGCAGAAGATTTCATTTAAAAAACAATTCATATATATATATATATATATATATATATATATATATATATATATATATATATATATATATATATATATATATATGAATAAAAAGAAAGAACAGTAAGATATATAATCCGGTGTTCTTATAGATATTTTTATTTTTACAAAATAGTGCTCAATGTAAATTTACAGAGCATTAATATTATAAATTAATTGATTTAAAATATGTTTTTTTTCGCTACACAGTTCTAACCATGTTTCAAAAATGGAAGCTAAAGGTCCCGAATTTAATTTTGTAATTAAATTAAAGATATTAGTTCCATTTCATCCTCAAGCGAATTTTGGAGTAACTTTTAAAATTACTGAGTTTTAAATACACAGCTAAAACAAAATTCATGTTTCCAAGGTTACAGATAAAATAATTTTTCTAGACAGGGGTATTCAAAATTAATTTTGTAAAAAGTAAATAATACATCAAATTTCCCTTGTCTCTCATATTAAACGTAACATGTTTTGAAAAAAATGCATTATATATATATATATATATATATATATATATATATATATAGATAGATGGTGGTCTCTTCGGTCGTTTTTCGGCGTAAGGAGTGTCCAGAAGCTCAGACAAGAACTGACAGCTGAAGTTGAAGGCTTGATGCAGAACCAACTACACTTTTTGGAGGGCCGAATACAGAGACCCGGTGCACTACGTGCCACAAGGTCCCAAAACGAGTCTCCGGAGCTTTAGAAACGAGAGTTGTCCTTCTCCTTTGAACCAGTTGACATTCAAGGCTATAGAACCCAGTCTGTCCTGCTATTTACCCATAGCTGGCGGGAAAAAAGAAGTATCAATTCCTTTACCAAGGTTACTAGTACGTAAGTGAATATAATGTATTCGACTGGAATTCGAACTCAATCTCCGATTTCTTCAATCCGAGTCGCTATCCACTATCAAACCTCCATATATATATATATATATATATATATATATATATATATATATATATATATATATATATATATATATATATATATGTATATATATTATATATATATATATATAATTTTTATCTCCCCGGCAATCGATTGACTTCAAATATACAAATCATTCATTCGCCCTTGCATGGGTATATACCATATATGGTCTGGGGCACCTTCTGTTTACTTCGAGTTCTTGACAAGATCTGAGAGGCGGATATGTAATAAGATTGGCCTAATCTGGCATCTCGTCTGTCACTCTCTCATCGCCTCTCTGTCTTTTTATATTTCATAGTAATAATTGCTCCGATGAGCTGCTTTCACTAGACTGCATAAATTCAAGCGCCCTGCGAGGCTGTCATCCGCTCTCATCCTTTCACTGCGAAACTTTTAAATGTAGCCGTCTCTTCTATAATATATATCGCACCTCTCGCCTGTGGAACACCCTTTCCTATGTTTCCCTAAGGGCTATAATCTCCAACTATTCATATATCAGTGATATATCCTATCTCTCCTCCCTATGCTCTCGCTCAAATATATGGCTTCATTGCTCAGGACGTAATGCTTATATATATATATATATATATATATATATATATATATATATATATACACATCCACACACAAAAAACACACAAATATATATATATATATATATATATATATATATATATATATATATATATATGAAAAAGTATAAGTTTTCATGTTATATTTCTGGGATAAAGTACTTTTCTATGACAGATATATATAAATATAAAAGGTGAACATTGGATATAACAGACTGTTCCGTCATCAGACCTGATGTTTGCATTTGTATCAAAACGACCTTGTCGACCTATTGACTTTGGTTACTATATATATATATATATATATATATATATATATATATATTAAAGTGGACAGGTCCGAAAAGTAAATTCGACCTTTGTCGACGAGACGGTTATCTATCCGTATAGGATGCAAATCCTGTCAAAAACGAATATTTTCTAAGAAAATTTCTCGGACATTCAGGCTATAATGTTATTTAATACTGTTTATCATAAACAGAGCATTTAAATACTTGTATCTATAAATAACAACGTTAAACATAAAAATGTCTTTAATATGTATATGTTAGTTGGGATCTATCAGATATTTTATCATATAATGTGCTAATGTTCGCACAAAATATCAAGTGATATTGGGTGAGATTTGCTGTATAAGAAATTATATGGTCAATGACTAAATTCTCTTGAGGTTTGAATTATGAATCAAATTTTAAAAAAGACATTTATCATATAATGTCTAATTAAAAACGATGATTTTTAGATATTTTATTTATGTAAATAACCTTCTTTTTTTTCTAATCAAATCAAGGCTACAAGACAATATCGTTCTGATTGCTTTAACTTTATTTTGCGATCCTCTCAGCTTGGATTGATCGTTTACAAAACAAACAGAAATTTTAGAACGAGCTGAAAAAAGTTTATTACCCTATCGCATAATTAGTCAGTATTGTCAACTCTGAGTAAACAGTCTAACTTCAAAACACAAAACGATATATTTATCTACAATTTTTTTTTAATTTTGTAACATTTCATGTATTTTTCTCATTGTTTTTCTAGCAGCATTTCGTATTAAGAAAAAGCATCATCTGTACGAAAATAAATAAATAAATAGTAATATCGTGAAACTTAACCGAGAGCTAAAAATAGTGGAAAACTTAAATAATAATTTTGAGCTTATATAATGTTTTATATTCATGTCATATTAAGACGAAGAATTGCCAACAAAAATTATTATTATTATTATTATTATTATTATTATTTGTGAGTTATGTTCCCTGCATTGTATTCTGTAGAGCCGGGTCTAAACTATGGTCCTTAGACCCTATAAGAGAATTGTCATCATTTAATTGATAGCAGTTTTGTAGTATATGGGATGTTCCTAGTAGGGCGATATTCTGAGCAACTTTTATGCTGATGATATTTGGCGTACTGTTAGTAAAATTGCGCATACCTTTTCTCATGAGGCCCAGAATACTATTAGTAGAGTCTCAGTCTTCATTCCTCACATCCGCGATCTCCTTGTCCTTGTATTTGGACAATTTCACGATAATTATCATGGAGTTTTTTTTCTTCTTGTATTTTTGTTTTTGTTGTTGTTGTTGTTGTTGTTGTTGTTGTTGTTGTTGTTGTTGTTCTTCTTCTTCTTCTTCTTCTTCTTCTTCTTCTTCTTCAATACTTCCTAATTTTAATGTTCTCCACTAGAACCACTATATTATTTTTATTATTATTACTATTATTATTATTATTATTCAATACTTCCTACTTTTAATGTTCCCCACTAACACCACTATATTCTTCTTATTCTTCTTCTTCTTCTTCTTCTTCTTCTTATTATTATTATTATTATTATTGTAGATGTTGTTGTGGCTGTTGTCGTTGTTGTTTTCGTGTCATGATTCCTGTTTTGTTTCCTGTAGAGCCGGATCGAATCTTTGGTCCTTAGGTCCTGTAGGAGAATTTTCATTTAATTGATAGCATTTTCTTAGTATATGGCATGTTCCTAGTAAGGCGATATTCTGAGCAACTTTTATGCTGATGTTACTTGGGGTACTGTTAGTAAAATTCTCTTTAACTTTTGGTACATCAGTCTTATGCTTTATGTCAAGGACTCGTTACAGTTATCTCCTTTTCCTTTCTTTCATTTTGGAAACTTTTTCTATTTCAGTTAGAAGTGAAATTATCCCCCGTATTTTATTTATTGAGGATTCTATATTTTCTTTACAGACCGGCATTTTTCTTTTTCCGTTTATGTTGTGTTTTTGATTTTTCATCAATTGTTTCTGCGATCGTTGCCCAGAGTATTAATTTATTTCAGTTTCCTCAGCCTCTTCATCTCGTTCAATATTATTCTAATTGTTTGGTTAGTGAGGTTGATGATTTCCTTAACTTGACGGTTCTTTCTTTCTTTTGGAATTGTTGACCTTTCCTCGAAAGCCATTTCCTTTTCATTTTCCGATTTATATCGTTTTTTTTTTCTTCTCTGTTTCTCTTTCATATTCGTCCTTATCTTCATCTATTTACTTGTGTACACCAGAAGCATTATTACAACTGGTTTCCTTGTGCATCTGCATGTGTCTTCTCTGGGTTGTTGGCATTTAGGCCCTCGATGTTAACGTTTAATTTATTTTTTTTTCATTTTCTCGAATAATTTCGAGTTATATGCTAGGTATCTTTTATTTTCCTGATGATATCACGCTTCATATTGGCTAGTTTGTTGGCACTGATGTTTAGTCTGTTTGAAGGATTTTTTTTTTCTCTCCAGATATTAGAGACGGATTTGGTCGTTGTCGTCTTTTTCGGATTTATTGCAGCAGGGTAAAATGCTGTCATTACTTCTATATACTCTTCCCTAGGCCATTTATTTATTGTTCTTTTTGTAGAATTGTATTTAGTGAATATAGGGGGCCTCTCTGAGAACTGTCATCGGCTTGGTTTTCCTCTATTTCTCATTGTGTAAAGTCTGTTCCAGTGGCAGACATCTCAATTCCAGTCTGGTTCCTTACTCGGAATCGCGGTCCTTGTTGACCCCCGTGACTAACGATACCAACATTTTTGGTTGTGCCAGCATTATAGTAAGTTCGTATTTATCCATAAGTAGGGGGCGCTGATTCGTAGGCACAAGAACCTATCATGGTTGGCCATCGCGTTCAGGGGCGGGGGGTGCAGGACTTTTCTGATATTGTTTTTACTAGGGATATTATTAACAAAAACAATAAAATATTTATAAGCGTGCTTCACATGACTCCGATATAACTTCAATTTTCAATGGAAATTTTAC